TGGGGAATTCTGGGAGTTGAAGTCCACTCATCTTAAAGTGGCCAAGTTTGGACAACACTGGTCTAGGTTGTAATGTCACCTGCTGGCTGGAGCATTGCTTCTGCGCTGCATGTGTGCATGCTATACAGGGGAGTCCAGGGGGGGGGATCAGATAAGGCAAGACGGTCACCCCAATCGCACAACTGAAGCCCTGTGATATTTTTCCCAGGGGTGCCATGTGCAACCCTTATAAAAAAGCACAGGGCTTCAATCGTGCGGGCATGGCCACCATCTTGACTTTTTTTGATTCCCCTCCCCCCGGCACAGAAGACCTACTGACCTCTGTGGTTTGTATCTTGGGGAACTGGGTGGTCACCAATAGTTTCTCCCAGGACAAACAGGTCAAGCGGATCAATTCCTGTTGGAGAAGGAGGGCCTGTAGGTCCATCGGTGGAAGCCATGTAGGCCTGTATAGACCAGCACCGTGAATTGCATCCCGAGGACAATTGCAAGCCAGGGGTTTGGAGTCCTATCCGTCAGTCAGTCAGCTCAAATAGCAGCCAACGTCATTTCACCATCGCCAAGAGCTGATGGCAATGCTCTCCACATCCAGATCAACAGCCAAATGAGATCTAGTGTGTGTCTGCCTGCATGAGTCAAACGTGAGACCACATAGGAGATGCCCGTCATCTCCCCCGAAGCCCTGAACTCCACAGCACGTCCGAACCCGGGACCCAGGGCACAGAGATTGAAGCTACCTAAGGCCAACAGCCTGAGTGAAAGTCTTAATTTAAAGCCCGTTCAATCGTACTGAAGAGGAACCTGAGAGAGGAAGATGAGTTCATTCGGTCTGTAAGTTTCCTGAATTCATGTCATCTACTACTGGAGTAGGATACATTGAAACCTCATTCTAATGAATTACTTGAGCGAGCAGCTATTATTCCACAAAGCCCTAGGAACCAAAGAACGCGTCCTTGGGGCAGTGCTGGCTTGCGAGAGCTGATAGTTAAATTTTCGGGAATTTTGCGAGCTGGGTGAGAGCAGAGCTGAGCCCCAATGCCTGGCACGCTGAGCAGCTGCTCCACTGCTGGTGGCAATGAAGCTGGCAAAGCTGCTTCTTAAACATTTACCAGCACACCACTGCCTCAGGGTGATACAAATGATGATTATGCCCATATGGCATAATGTCATCATCACACAAGTGACACAAATCAGAACAGATTTTTGTCTGTGGCATGCAAAGTTAGTTCGGTCAAGGTTGTAAAACCAAGGTTTCATTGCAATAGATTCTTGGCTTGGTTGGCACTGTATGGCTGGCCCTAACCTAACAAATTGGATTAGGTGAGGTGTAAACCCAACCATCACAGTTTGTAATAATTTATGGCTTGGGAGAATGCATAGTCTTAAAATTCTTTGCTATTCCTCTGAAACTCTGGTTTCAGTTGGGCATCCAGGTGTAGCAATTCTATCATACCCCTGCCCAGGGATTGCCACTTAAGGTAGTCCATTCATTGTCCCACTTCATAAAGTTTCATTCATTCATTCATTCATTCATTCATTCATTCATTCTTACTCATATGGCTGCCCGTCTACCAAAGGTGACGCTGGGTGGCTAACAAAAACTTAAAATTACAATATAAAAAACACATTTCACAACCAACTAAACACAAAGTCACTGCCAAAGAAACCATACACCAGCAATGTGGGCTCAATTTCTCTCTTGGCCTCCATGCCTGGGAAAACAGCCAGGTCTTCAAGGCTGTATGAAAGGTGAGCAGAGTCGGAGACAACTTAACCTTGGGCAGGATGGTGTTCCAGAAGGCAGGTGCGGCTACAGAAGAGGCACACTCCAAGAGTCCCACTAGACGTTGTGCGCCAGTTGCACCCATTCCTGGATCAGGGGGCTCTACTCTCAGTCACTCATGCCCTGGTTACCTGCTGAATGGATTACTGTAACACACTGTACATGGTGCTGCCCTTGAAGAGCATCTGGAAGCTTCAGCTGGTGCAAAATGCAGTGGCGTGGGCATTTATGTGTGCTTCTTGATCAGCACATG